GAGCATAGTTTGCTTTTTGGGTTAAAATAATTTCTTAATATGAAATTCGAAGAGTATGGCTATTAGATTAGACTGTGCAGAAATTGAAGCTAGATAATTCCGCACACAGCTGCAATTCCAGGTTTTCAAACAGAGATGGCGACAAAGAGGCAAAACTTACGGACTGCAGCTTTAAGTAAACCCAGATAGGGTGATCAGGACTCCTACACAAACCAGAAGGGGTTTATTTTGCAAAAACAACCATCTGACTATATGTTATCTCGCTTATTATGCGGCTACTCACCAAATAAATTCATTAATATGTTTATTTTTAACAATAGTTTAGTAATCTGATGTCATTTTCACTACAACTGATAACTGAGACAAGATGGTGGAGTTTTGCTTGCATTGAACAAGAAAGTAACATTTGTTTCAGTTAAGGTGTAGTCACATATTGTTGTTTGACAAATTTTTGGGAGTGAAATCTAATCATTTCAATAGGAATCCATCCGATTTGGAATTTTGTGTGGGGGCGAAATGTTTCTCCACATAGATTTTGCTGCAGGTTTAAGTTATTCATTCAAATTTGGAAAGTGGAGAACATTTTCGCCCCTCACAAAAAATTCTAGATCGTGTGAATTCTTATTAAATTTAGACTGAATTTCGTCCGTGAAAATTTGCCGAGCAATGGTAAATGTTCACCTTTACTTGAATGAGCGGTCTAATAAACATAGAGAGTTGTTATAGGCGACGGCAAAATATCTAAACCGCTAAATGCCCTGATTGACCAGTCAGAAACGAGTATTCCTGAAAGCCGTGTACTGAATACATATGTAGAGTAGATCTGTAAACAGTTTTTCCCAGTATTTTTTTCCATGGCATCACATTATACTAAAATCAGTATTGTTGTAAATGCAGTGCATGTTAAATCACTCTTGTATATCGGGATGTCAAAGCTTGAGAACACCCAGTGTGGAGAGCAACACTCCTGAACATAATTCATAGAGTGTGTTTGGTGACACATACTAAATGACATTTTAGTGCATTTAATGTCCAACACTAAATGACATTTATGTTTTGTCTCAATGGTCCACAGAGGTTGAATCCAGACTTTTTTATAGCCAGTGGGGCATTAAATATAATTGTGTTGTCTTTAGTTTGATGTCTCGTGGACCCACATGGGTCAGAAAATACCTAATGGATGGACAATGTGAACACGCTGTCGCTGTTTAAATGGGTGGAAGGTTTTATTTAATTCACGGTATGTTGGAGAAAGGAATATTTAAAATGAGAAGCGATATAATGTGATATTCAAAATGCACTTAACTCTAATAAGGGTAGAGAGGATTTTTAGATGCATGTTATTTTTTTCTCTGCTTAATTTGTATGCCACTGAACATAAAATGATCCTAAGGCAATAAATACCAGTGCTGGAATAACATCAGTTGGATCATCAATCTCATTTCATTTCTCACTGAAAGACCATATAATGTTAATCTGCCTTTTTCTGTCAAGTATAGATGAATTACAAGTGATTCTGATGGTCAATGTTAATATAATAATACTGACCCCGGCAACCGGCGGGTACTCGGGTTCTAGTGCACTCAAACACCTGTGTTGTCTTCACAAGTGTTTAGGCTAAAGTAATCAAATTATCCTCAAGAGTTCATTTGTTTTCTCTTCGGAACAAATCTCTGAACAAAAATTTCCTTGAGCTTAATGATGAAATCTGTGTCAATGTATCTGTTTTGACATTTTGGCTTACAGCCATTTAAATAAGCTCTTTTTTTTAGCAAAAAGTTGTATTTCTTTCCACACAGCTGCTCTGTCATTCCATTATATTTGTTTCCAAGCACATATGATAATCACTTTTGTTATTTGACTATCCAAGAGGGAGTTATTCAAATCTGTTGTTATAAATGTCTTTAATCATTGCAGTCGTAAACAGAAAAGGGAAAAGGTCACAGCCTTCTCTAAAAACTGTATGGGGAGAGTATTAAAACACTAATGCTGACTTGTAAAGCTCCTTGATTTAAAGGGGTCATATGATGCTGCTAAAAAGAACATTATTTTGTGTATTTGGTGTAATGAAATGTGTTTATGCGGTTTAAGGTTAAAAAAACACATTATTTTCCACATACTGTACATTATTGTTTCTCCTCTGTGCCCCGCCTTTCTGAAACGCGTCGATTTTTACAAAACTAATCGGTCTGAAAAGCGAAGTTGTTGTATTTCCTCAGCAACCAGCACGGATCAGCTCCAGGCATGATGAAGCAATATCGTCCTCTTTTGGAAGGCCAAACAAAGTAGATTCGCTTTCGCAACGAAGCACACAGCGCCTTCACGACATGGCGGTGGCGGCAGCAACAATACTACAGCGAGAATAAAAGTTACACCTTCTTTCTTTGTGTGAACATTTGGGCGGCGTTATGCAAATCTTCCCAGATAGTGACGTAGATATGTGGGGGCGTGTTAGAACCAGCCGTTTTAGGTAGGTGTGGCTGACTCTTAACTTTTATAAAGAATATCACTTTGGATTTGAGACTTTAGTCTTTGCAACTTTACAGATCTTCTTTATGCACCAGGAGCTTGTAACACTCCAAAGAGAAAGGAAAAATTGAAATCGCATCATATGACCCCTTTAACATCCAATTGCTCTAATAAAAGAGTAAAGTTTGTTATCAAGAAAAAGTCACTTACAATCACATTTTAATCAGTCTTTCTCATTAAAATCAGATTTTTGTTTTTAATATATTTGAATAGGTTATAGTTATAGTAATGACTTATTGAACAGTATATATAAACTATTTATTGAAAGGTTTATTGAATATCTTTTTTAATATATTTTTGTTAGTTATTCCACAACAACTGCATTATAGGCCTTTCACAGACAAACATTCTGGCTGTTTTGATGTGATATTCCATTTAGCAGTATGTTAAAGCAATTCAATAAAACAAATTCCTGAATATGTTTGTTTTATTATAGCTTCGCCTTCTGCTCTTATTTTTTTCCTTCAAATTACAGTATCAGTAGCAGCCGTGACATTACAACGCGCGCACTTGCAACTCGACGCGCACGCGCAGCATCACGCGCTTCCAGTAGGAACGCACGCGAGAGACGGGATACATTAAATGCAATGATGGCGACAGCAGCAGAGGAGATCTCAGAAAACACTGTGACACCAGTGTCTTTCAAAAGCGCAAGGAAAAACCAGGATAGACCCTGGAAACTGAGCTTTATTTATCTGCAGTGCTGTGAGTATCAGGGGAGAGAGAGATCGATGTGTGATAGCAACGCAGAGGTCTAAAATACCCACCCCGCACTATATCACTGAATTGAACATTTAACACCATATTGCATAACGGACAGAGCACGTTACATCTTTATATCTCTCCTGATTTGCCGCCTTCATGTCCAGTTCAGAGATACAATACCATGACGTCATTCTCCTCCGCTGAATGCTCCGCTAACGTGCACCTCACACGCATGCATGCATGGGAGAAGCTTTTTTCTTCTTCTAGTTGTTTCTCTTGACAGGAGTTGTTATTTGATCTTTTCCGGTGTTCTTTTTATACGTTATGGCTTTGTTTATTGTCAAAGTGTAAGTTGAGAAATTTAACCGTTTCTTTAAATTCGTCATAGGCTTGCTTAAATGTCAACCAGCATCTGAGTGGATTTATGTTGAGACATTTAAAAATATAATTTAAAAGAGTAGTTTATCCGAAATGACAATTCTGTCATCATTTACTCACCCTTGTGTTGTTCCAAACCCCTGTGATTTGGTTTCTTCCACAGAACCGTAAAGGAGAAACAGCTGTAAACAGATCAGTGAGTCAGTGAGTTGAACTTAAAGGTCCCCTGAAATGCTTTGAAACATGCAGCGTTACGCTATGTGTTGACGTCATTTTAACTGAAACAGGAAGACAGGGCGGGACATATCAAGCAGCCCCGCCCCTTTTTAAAATAGCCAATAGCTTTCGTTTATATCACAGCTTTGGCTAGAGCCGTCTAGAGCCGTTGAGCTCCGTAAAGCCGCATTTGACAGGGTATGCCAGCACAATCTCATCCATATTGCTATAAAATATAGCATTATGTATAGAATTCAAATAGCTCCGATATATTTTGTGGTCTGCGCCGACTCGCGCATATGTGATCCGCTCCGTGCTATCATGTCTCTGGACCGGAGCAAAGTGTGTGTGTGGTGCGGTGGTTAGCGTGACACAGCGCGAAACCAGACTTCTTTTTTTCCTCAATGGAAAGCATATTTACACTGTTTGAATCGTTCCCTGTCCCCTATATAGTGCACTACGTGCCATTCACTGTACAGAAAATACTAATTCTGTGGACAAGTGACCGATTTCAGCCGCGACTTCAGCGTCTATTTTATAGTGTAGGGGGTGGGCGCTTCGGATTCTAGAGAGCATTTGATTGGACAGAAAGTTTGATGAGAAGCTGAAGTACGATGTGACGTCAAAAAAATCGTTGAGCCGTTTTGGCGGAAGTGACAAACTGAAAGCTTGCACTTAACTCTAATAAGGGTAGAATGCTTATATCTTCTAAATGCGAATTTTGTCACTATTTTGGAGCACACTACCTTATAGATAACCTTAAGACTAACGTATTGATACTAACACCCAAAAAACTTCATGGGGACTTTAAGAACTGGATCAGTTCTGTTCGTTAACGAATAATTCAGATCGGTTTCATGTACTGTCTCGTCCGAGTTAGTTGAAAAGAATAATGTTCAAGAAAATACTATTTCTGTCTTTCTACCTCAAAATTTCACGTTTAATTAAACCTGTTCCCTTTCAGTCGGTCACTACGAGTCACGTCGTGACCGACGAAATAACCATTTCTCCTGCACTTGAGTCCTCGCTTCATCTCCCCGCACGCACCGTGACAATATGGTCATGCAGAATATGTGCTTTATAAGTAGGCCTACTACTAACCAGCTAATATGTTAAGGCATGCTAATAAGCAACTTAATAGTGAGAATTGGTCCCTGTACCACCGCTGAGCGGCCGGGTCGCCGGCTCGGCTTCTCAGCGAAAACCTGGTATGCATTGCACCTGCTGCCTTATTATACTCACGCTGTGATCAGCGGCAGCTGGATGCAATAATTGCATGCCAATGTGCATTGGCTCATTTAGTTTACACTCGAAGTAGATTGGTCTATCGAAGCGATATCCCAATTCGTCGGTCACGACGTGACGTCTCCGTTCCCTCCTTCAGGGAACGAGGGTTACCATACATAAGAGACGTTTTCTCGTCGTTTCTTTGTAAATATTTGTGAAATGTAATAGCAGTGTTATTGTCTCTCATAAATGCACCAAGGAAAACTAGGGTGGATATTAAGATTTAGTAGTGAATGACAGTATGAAAGTTCAATCAATACTGTATATGGACAATAAAAATAGAGAGTATTATGATGTTCAAAATTCGGTTAAAATGACAAAGTTCAATAAGTAAAGTATATATTCTTAGATTGGGACATACATGTTTAATAATACATTATTTCTCATGAATAAAATATGAACAGATAAATGTGAAACATGTTTATGTAGGGAAAATGTATACCGTATAAGGTCACACTTTATTTCAAGGTCTAATTCTCGCTATTAACAAACCATTAGCTACGACTTTTGCCTCAGTAAACTCCTAATTTGTTGCTTATTAATAGTTAGTATAAGGTAGTTGTTAAGTTCAGGTATTGGGTAGGATTAGGGATGATATGTTAAGGCATGCTAATAAGCAACTTAATAGTGAGAATTGGTCCCTATACTAAAGTGTTACCGGAGATATCGTAAGATATATATTACCGAATCAGGAGATTCAGACAATTGTGCATGAGGACCACGTTTATGTTGCTTGTTGATTGTAATTTTCAGAACTTAACGGCACCTGGTATCTGTTTACTTTCATTGAAAGAAAAAGCAGAGTTAATATTCTGCTAAACATCTTCCCTTGGGTTCAGCACGAATCAACTAATGTTATTCCTTTAAATGGCAATAGAAAGCACCCCTGCTTTATGTTTCTGGTTACAGCTGCACGTGCTGTGGTGTTGTTTTAGTAGAAAGCCTGCAGATGTTGTTATTGGCAGAGTAGCTGCATGTATGTGACAGCTGCGTAAACCTTTTAGGCCTATTTTATGTGTAAACTGCTTGGTTTTGTTGCTCGATCCGGCCATCAAGCAGAAGCGTGTATATACTGACAGCTCCTGTTGTTTGTACAGCATCAGGCATAATTTTCATTGTGTCTTCAATTTTTCTCCTGTTTTATATCCCTAAGTGGATTTTAGCAAGCCGATAACACAATTACTGTCTGCATTGTGATTTCCAGAAATTAGGTTTATAGTGCAAGTACATAAAAATTCAACAACCATCCATTAATCAGACCTAATATGAGAGACCTGCAGGAAAACGCGTTCCGCAGCGAAACTTGCGTGATGTTGAAATTAAACAGCTGCGCGAGGATGTTTCTTCACTTGGCTGATTGCCAGAGCGACTGATATCGGCGTCATTAAAATGCCATCATAGTTACTTTGCTACTTCTGTACTTACTTATTGTCATCCATCATCTTGACTGTGAGTGTGGGCGTAATTCAAATCCGCAAATAGCTGCCCCATAATTCTGCCTGCGAAGATTGTATACAGTATTTCAGGCATTCTGTCAATTAATCAAATCTGCCCATTTACCAGCTTTACCGAGACTTGTTCTTTCTGTTATTTGCTATAGCTTACGGCATTGACGAACCTCTTTCATCTCTCAAATTTCATTTCCTGGCGTGTCATATTATTACACAAACTCATATCTCTGAGCTGAGAGTTTATTTAGGGGCCTGATGATATGGCCACGCTGCTTTTACAGATAACAAAAGTTGTTGTTTTTTTCTGGTATTTTTAGACATGAAATGCTAATATCACTCTTTGCCGACGAGAATACCTGGTTTGTTGTACTTTGAGGCAGATAAAAAGCCTTCAAGGATAATTTTTCCATTTTAACAATAAGTGTTTATTCCCTGATGATATTCGTGCATCTGTAACTAATCCTGCCCAAACATTTACACTGTAATTGGAAAATCAAATGCTATCTGTAGTGTCAGCAAAGTCAATTTGAACTTTTCAGTCTGGCTTCTCATTCGTGACTGCCGCTGTTATTTCTCTGTGAGAGGCTAATCAGAAGCATCTTATTAATATGCATCAAAGAGCCGTGGCGTAATTTCTGTAATTAGGCCAGAGGAGAAGTGTTTATGCTTAGGTTTTTTTTCACTCTCTCTCTTCTATGCAGCACAGTTCTTCTTGTATTGCTTCTCTCATTTTACTGTACAGCTGCTCTTCAATCCTTACCTGCACACATGTAAATCTTGACTGCCACCTCGGGTTAGAGCTGAAAGAGTTGAGCTGTGTTAAGACAAGGTGACATTGTGATGGTTTGATAGGGAGGATCTTTTATTTGATCAAAGTTTTTATACTGATAGTATTAATATCCCTCTCTCTCTTGTATGTTTGTTGGGCTAATTTGATTATGGTTTCAGACAGCAATAAGAGTGGACTATTCTCAGCTTCATTTAACTTATTTTGGCATTGTTGACAAATTTTGCCAGAAATGTTCCTTTTTTATTTTTTATTGTGCATTCAAAACAGCCCCTGAACTGAAATAATAGCTCCTAACATCCAAATTAAAATAAAACACTACTGTAAATGGATCAAAAGTGACAGTAAAGCCATTTATAATGTTACAAAATAATTTCAAATAAATGCTTTTTTAAAATTTTCTATTCATCAGAGAATCCTGAAATAAAGGTGTCATGGTTTTCCACAGACATATTAAGCGGGCACAACTGTTTTCTAACATTGATAATAATAAGAAATGTTTTAATGCATCAAATCAACATATTAGAATGATTTCTGAAGGATCATGTGACACTGAAGACTGAAGTAATGATGCTGAAAATCCAGCTTTGTATCAGTACAATTTAAAATAGAAAACATTTTAAAATGTAATAATAGTTCACAATATTGCTGTTTATACTGTAGTTTTAATCAAATCATAGTTCATCATTATTGTCAAAATACACAAAACCAAATGAATAATAGGTTAGATCAATCATAGGAAAATTCAGTTGTTTTTTTTTAACTGATGAACTGTCCCTCGTTTTCATTTATAGTTATGTGGTCAACTTAGATCAAGAGGTATCATTTATGTACATGTGTTCATCCAGTGCACAAATCAGCTTCCCTGTTACCACAGATGATGTGAATTATGAATACATGAAATACATTCATTAATTCTGTTCTGTTATATTAAACATTTAAACACATGTTGTCTCTCCACAGATTTTTTAACAATTGCTACAATACTGGGGACCGGGATCCTGGGTATGTAAAATCTTAGTGTGCAATTAAAAATATACCAAATAGCATTATGCTGATTTATCTAATTTAGTCCTTGTTATTTTTTGCACAGCATATAAGACAGATGCTCACTGATCCACAGCAGTTAAGAAAAGACTGCAGAAGGTCTTATTTTCTTTAATTAACTATTGGAATGGAAAAGGAAGGAATAAAATCCATGCATGAGAACATTAACGGGCAAAATGGAGTTAAACATAATTTCTCAATGGGTTTTCAGCAAGACTATATTCTGTTTTGTTAATGATATACCCAGGCTTTATGGTCTGAACAGTAGCAGGTATATATTTATAAGACACCACAATTACATGGTGCATTGAATTTAACTGTTCTGTTTCAGTGAGATTTAATAGTTGTTAAAAAAAGACATTTCTCTTTTGATTTCCTCCTATCTGAGTTAAATCGTTTTAAAGTGTTCTTCTAGCCATAATAAAATTACCACCATCAAATGATTCAGTCTAGAGATAATATCTGATATGAGTGGCTGAATATGTGAATATGTTTGCTTTAATATAAGGCCATGCAGATATATTCAGTATACATCAGATTCTGTCGTGACATAATCATCAGATAAGGTGTTTTTTTTTGTTTTGTTTTTTTTGTAGGACTGCCTGTAACTATCGCTCGGGCAGGTCTGGTGCCTTTCTTGATATCCTTCCTTGTAGGCTTTCTAGTGCAGGTAAGACATTTTTCTTTTTCTTTTTCTTTTTTTTCGTTGTTGTATTTATTCTGACATTGTTTTGGATTCTTAGCTCCATTTCAAACGACTTTAACGTTTCAAAACTGACATGGTTTTTCAAAACTGCTGCTTCTTTTGGTAATTATGAGGTGGCTTCTTTTTCTATTCATATTTTCATCTTCTTCTTTTATTGAACCATTTTCTGACATTTGATGGAGTTGATTTTGACTTCACAGTATCTACAGTTCTAAAGCAGATCTTGCGTTTTGATAATAACATGACATTGCGACTAACATTTGTCTTGTTTGACATTTAAGAGAGACTTATTGTAAAAAAAAATGTCTGAATCTTCCAGCTTTGAAAAACTTACTTATGCTGCTGTCTTTGATTCTTTTCCAAATTCATTTCCTCTTTTAGAACTTTTGTACTATTGCAGCACAAAAAAATTAGGTAGCAGTTTTATTTTAACAACAAAATCTTCAACAATTTACACTGACCGCAAACCATCAGCCACAGAACTCGACAGGATGTTCAGCAGATTTCCACAGATTTAAAAATTAAAAATAAAAAAATCATAAAAACCTACACAAATGCATATAAATTTAAATGAAACAGTCAGCTTTTAAGGGCACACCGGCATCTTGATGGTCTTTAAACTGCCATTTTTTTCAAACGAACATATTTTCTGGATTTTCTTGCAAAATTAGAAAACATTGCGTCTGCAATAACTTATTTAGAATAAATGTTGATTCATTCTCTTTTAGGCTCTGCTCATTTACCTGTTTGTAGATTTGCTTCAACGATGCCGTTTAGCCCAACTTGAGGCACTGAAGGTAAAAAAATGACACTACCGTTCAAAGGTTTGGGTACAGTAACATTTTATTTTTCTATCACAGGAATACATTTTATTTTACAATATATTAACAAAGAAAACAGTTATTTTGAATTGTAATAATATTTTTAAATATTACTGTTTTACTGTATTTTGATCATTAATGAAAAATAAATGCAGTGAGCATATGTGACTTCCAAAAATATATTTTAAAAAAATCTCTCCCAACCCCTGAACAAAATTATACAAGTGTAATTGCATTCACAAATGAGGCAAATGCACAATAGCTCGTTTAGTAGTAGAATGATAATGTCAAATCAGTTCATTGTGTTGATGAAGATAATGTATTCTGGTGTCCTGTGCCAGACTGCAGAAACTGAGAGGATCTTAATGGAAGAAGTCGGTTCTGCAGAACCTCCGACACAAAATGCAGAAGAGGAAGAAGATGGGGAGGAAGTGGAAGAGGCAGGTATGACACATTATAAAAAGTTACTGAATGAAGCATCCGACTCTATGACTCTATTTATTTATTGTTTGTTTTCATTTTATGTTATTTTAATATTTTTTTATTTTTTTTTCCTAAATATGCCGGTTAATCATGTTTGAAGAAGATTGTTGACTGAAAAGTTTTTAATGAAGATTTGCATGCTTTGCCAGTTCATAGGGTTTTGCTAGTCTTTTCATTTTCAGTGCAATTGAAATGAGAAGAATATTTTAGGATCTAATATCCTGCAATGCAGCTTTGACTCCTAAGTCTTTGGAATACTTATTATCCACAAGAGATATGATCCTCAAAGCCAATATTTTGATATGAAATACACTGTTAAAAAAAGTGTCTGCTGAACTGCTATCATAATTATTTTTTTTTTTTTTAACTAAATGTCTTGACTGAATTTACAAGGGTAACAATCAGCTAACGGATCATTTTGAGTATAGTACCAAACACACAAACAGAGGTTACTAAATGTGACAAGAAAATCAGCAACATTGTAAATAGAATGGAATAGAAATGGTTAAACAAGGCAACTATAATTTTTCATGTCCCATGCTAGGAAGAGGGAAAATGGAACCACAGAACCATGCTTTCTCGATAGTAAGTACATCAAATGCTGTTTTATTTGTTGATTTTATTTTTAGAATTATTACATGGTCTACTCGTATTTAGATAACCTTAAAGTTTTTAATAAAGACTTGATCCTTGGATTTATATATCTCTGTGATTTCCCATCTCTGTAGGTATTACTTTACCATTGTTGTTTAGAGGCCAAGGCTCAGTGGTAAATTTGGCGCTGGCACTCATTTAAAGTAAACATATTTGTATTTGCCTTCATTCTTGCTGTTTTCCCCGCTGTTTAACTGGTTAGGCGGGAGGTGGTAGGCCACGTAAAACAGTAGGAAGTATAGCAGGAAACAGATGGCAGCTGTATTGTTTCTTTGCTAAAAGGACTACAGGGACTGTTAACGGAACCAGATCGGGGAGTAACGCAGAGGCGACGCTGAAACGCTTCAGTATTGGCGCTAACTAATCAGGGCTCATCTTGGCCCACGCAACAGAGACATTAAGTATTTTTGACATGAGATGGAGGGAATGGACAGCTAATGAAGATGAATGAGGCAAAGAGAGGGGGCCGCCCTGTCAGCGGGGATGATGGGCGAGAAAAGAAGCCTTCCTGTGAACGTCAGTGGGAATCACAGCCATCTGACACAGACACACAAATTGTCACTGACCCACATGGTATTGAAGTAAAAAAACGGTAACTTACTGTAAATATCCTGAACTTGGTTTAAGCTGCGTATCCTCATTATTATCAAGTTTTATACAACAGTTCTTTCTGGTCCTTAAATCTGATTGGCTGAGAGGAGTGCAATATTCTAGTGATAACAGAGCTATAACTGTTTCACCATTTGTATCTCTCCGTTTGCGGTATTTCTCACAGCGAGTGTCATGGAGGATGCCCAGACCACTATAATTTTATAAATAATATAAATAATAGTTTTTGTATAACAAAATGTAGTTTTAAAGAGTTTTTTAGGTGAGAATGTACTTGTTTAGACTTAAAATTATCAGTTTATTAATAAAGATAACGTCTATTTGAACATTTGCTTCAGCGTTTTCGGAGATATAAGCTCCAGGGCGTCAGCGGACGTTTAGCGCTCATGAACTCGCTGAGGTAAAGCAGCCTTACCTCGGCCAGATCTTCTGGAATTTGTCACTGGCTCTGATGTCTCTATAGTGGTTAAACATGAGATATAATTTGTTTTGGGTAAATCTAATGGGCAGTCTTTGGTCTCGTTAATCTATTATTTGTTCCAGAGCAAATAGTTTTGGCTGAGGGCAAAATATCATCACGTTCCATTTTATATAATTTTAATGCTGTATATCAGAGCGCTGCCTTTGTACTTTTGACTGAATTGCCTAGCAACTTTTATGATGGCTGTTGTTGTTTATTAAATGTTATTATTCAATAATAATATTTTATATAAATAATAGAAGTATTTAATAATAGTATTTAGTATTGGGAAACTGTGTGTGTTTGTGATGGTGATTAGTTACTTTATTCTGCCATTAGATGGTGACAAGAGACTTGATTAGTGAGTCAACATTAAAGACTTTTATATTGAAAGAGACTGAAGCAGAGTTGTAAACAAGGAAGTTATTTTTGCTTTCAACAACAGCTTGTAAGAGCAACCAACAAGTGCACTGAGCAGCACTGTCATTGTAAATCGCCCTTATGAAAGGACAGTACGACAAAGAGCCTATCGCTTTCCTCAGTGGATATTCTATTCTATTCTATTATTTATGCTGAATATGAGATTGAGTTGAAGAATGAATGCTGTATCAGATTAAGGTAATCTCACTCGCTTAGTCTATCTCTCTCTCATAATACAATGCATAATACAGTGAGCTTTTAATAATTACACCATAAATAATATTTACACCATAAATAATTAAAGTCTACTGTGTTTCAGAGTCAACATATGACTTTTTGGCTAGGGGTAAAGCGAGGAAAAGTACATGTTTAGATGAACAAGGCGATATAATGGAATGCACTCGTGGAGGTAGGAAAAGTTATTTATATTGTTTTTTAAGATTTACGATAGTCGTCTGTTTCTGTCAATGGTATTTTTTAATTTTAAATGTAAAAATCTATCCATCTGTCGGTCTGTCTGTGTTTGTGTGTGTGTGTGTGTGAAATATAACATATAGCAAAATGTGCAGTGTTGGGGTGCCTCCAGGACCAGGGTTGGGAACCACTGTAGTATAACATTGCAGTTGTATCACATGATATCAACTTTATCATGTGTTGGTATCGTCTAAATTGTCTATCATCATGGTAGAAGTTGCCTAAAAAGTCATTTTTTAGAATCTGCTGATGAAACTAGCAGGAGTATTAATAATCATTTTAAAATTAGATTATTAAATAAAATGTAACCTGACAATGCAACCTACTAAATGTAAGCAGTAATTCTTATTTAAAAAGGTACATTTGTGTTTATAGTGTATGATAAATGCTGTAGAACAATCAAGAATTAATAAAAACTGTTGTAAACCATATTGAATGAAAACTTTTTAGAAGCTTCTCAAGCCATTTAATGTTTTGTCTGTATTCTTAAATTAAGTATTGCATTAAATTGAATGCAACTGCATGTGTGAGAATAGTTTTTACAAACAATTTACAGAGAAGTTTGTTCGCTTATGTTTCATTAACGTGGCCCAAGGTTTGTAAAGTTGAAACACAGCTAAACATTGCCTATCCTATGCAGTGAATGGGTGCCGTGCAGATAATGGCTTTACTGCACACCCATTGTTCATTTGCACCCCTGTGAAATTAGGAACAACAATGCATTCTTTGTGGGAAAAGTTTGACTTTGCGTTCTGCAATATTCCTTTCCATCTTTTTGCACTGTTAACTCATAGTTAAATGCTTTGTCTGTGATATCTTCCAAACAGCCACTTGCTTCGAGGTGATGAAAATTCCCTTTAGACTTCTTGTGGTTTTCTTTAAAGAGAAGCAGACCTCGATTATAGCACTTCATTTGTTTGTGCTGAACCGCTTTCAAATCAGCAGTTAAATAGAGTTTGACGCAGTGTGCGAAATTAACTGGAGGAATACCATTTAAAATGAATTGGTTGCTTGGAATATTTCTCACTATGCTTAATGAATGACTTCAAATATAAGGCAGTCAGCGTTCCATCAAGGAAATCTTTTAGGAAAGATAAGCATTTTACACAAGTCAGCGAGACTGTGCCAATTTGTTGTGTACTTTATTCAAAATGCAGACAGCTGAACCAACAGAAACACTTTGCTTCTTTATTTCACTCTATAAGTCTGAACCTTGCAGTGCTTCTTCATTGGTGGGTCACAGGTTTGTTCAGCAGGGAAAAAATTATGATAAATGCAAATAATAAAACACAGCTGACCTGTGCATATTAGATATGTTCAAGTCTTTTGTTGTTGATGTCAAAAGTCCAATCAAACTGTACAGTATTTTGACAGAAACACGTAAGCCATTTGACAATAGGATTAATTCAAATGCAATATTTGGCCCAGGGATTGTCCCATGTGTTAATCTGGTAAAGCACACCATTTATGTATTTACAAAATAAATAATATTCCATTGACATGTCAATAATTTTGCATGTTTACCCTGTGCATCATATTAATATTTTGTATGTTTTATAAAAGTATTGTTTATTGAATTGAACAAAGTAAAACTTATAAAGCGGTGCATTTTCTTGTAAAATTGTACACCAATAATTGTTTTCTTCAAAAATAATAATAATAATATTTTTTTATATACACTGCCATTCTAAAGTCTAGGATCAGTAAGGTTTTTAATGTTTTTTAATGAAGTCTCTTATGCTCATCAAGGCTGTATTTATTTGATCAAAAATACAGAAAAAAACTGTAATATTGTAAAATATTATTGCAATTTCTAGTATTGGTTTTCTATTTTAATATACTTTAAAATATAATTTATTTCTATGATGCAGCTCTGAAATTTTGTCAGCCATTACTCCAGTTTTCAGTGTCACATGATCCTTCAGAAATCATTCTATTATGCTGATTATTATCAATGTTGAAACTGTTGTGCTGCTTAATTTTTTAAGTAATACTTTTTTCTTTGATTCTTTGATGAAAAAAGTTAAAAAAAGAACAGCATTTATTAAAAATAAAGTATAAAAGTATAAATAAATAAATAAAAACTTATTTTAAATTGCAATAATAGTTAACAAAATTAATTTTTTTTTCTGTATTTTTGATCAAATAGATAAAGCCTTGAGCATAAGGGGAAAATAAAAATAAAATATATATATATATATACATATATATATATATGTGTGTGTGTGTGTGTGTGTGTGTGTGTGTGTGTGAACAGAAACAATTTTCATTGTGAAATTGCTTATACATTTCACAATTTAATTACGAAGAAACAACAGATAACATATTGAATTGAATGAAGCAG